CGTAGGTTGTTTCCATCTTTTTGTTATTGTAAATGGTGCTGTGATGAACATGAGCGTGCATGTATCTGTTCCTATCCTGGCTCTCACCTCTCTAGGATATATACCTAGTAATGGGATTGCTGCGTCAAATGGTATCTCCAATTCCAACTTCCTAAGGAATTGCCATATTGCTTTCCACAGTGGGTGTGTCACTTCACAGTCACACAAGCAGTGTATGAGAGTCCCCATCTGCCCACATCCCCACCAGCATTGGTTATTTTCTGTTTCATTGAACCTTGCCATCAGTGCTGGGGTGAGAGGGTATATCTCATTGTTGTTTTGATTTACATCCCTCTGATGGCCAGTGACTGTGAGCATCTTTTCATGTATTAGCTGACCACCAGAATATCCTCCTTGGTGAAATGTCTATTCATGTCTTCTGCCCATTTTTCAATTGGATTCTTAATTCTTTTGGTGTTGAGGCATTGGAGTTTTCCATCAATCTTAGAGATAAGTCCCTTGCCAGATGTGTAATTATCAGCAAATATGAATTTATTGCTGTCATTTTTGTCATGTGCTTTTTCATTGTGTCAATTTCTTTGTTCCATATAATTTTCTATGCTGAGCTCGTTTTGTTTGTGAATCATTTTATCACTTCCTTCACTGCTATTGTTTTAGTATTTGCTGAATATTTATGCTGGTCCTCTTTTTTATTTTGATGTGAAGGTTTGTCATTTTTCTTTGAAGTTACCCTGTGATTTATAGTTTTCTTCCCAAATGTTGAATAGTCCATTCTATCTTGTCTTGACTTCCCTACCATCTAGAAGTTCTGTAACGACACATTTTTTTCCCTCTTTTTGGTTTACAGTTGTCCTCATTTGTCGGTTGGGGTCTCTGTTTCCCTGCTTACAATCTTGTAGGCTTATTTACTTTGGATACTTCCATAGCTGGGTTGGTTTCTGGGTTATATATCATCATGTGTGTTAATTGTCAGTTGTTGTTGGTTGTGTTGCTTCTCTGTGCAAAGGGCTCCCTTCAGCATCTCTTGTAAGGTTGGTCTGGTTTTAACAAATTCCCTTAATTTCTGCTTATCTGGAAATGTCCTAATTTCACCATCATATTTGAGGGACAATTTTGCTGGGTACATAATTCTTG